AACCCTAAACCCTAAACTCCCAAATGGGTCATTGGGGTCGCAGATTTGCGGACTGGGCTTGGGATACGCGGCTCGGGGCTCAGCTTTAGGATTTGGGTCAAAACTTTGATACATAGTGGCTTAGGTGGGGTTAGGATTGTTGGATAGTGGCTTAGGACATAGAGTCTGGGGTTAGGATTGTTGGATAGTGGCTTAGGACATAGAGTCTGGGGTTAGGATTGTTGGATAGTGGCGTAGGACACTCTAGGATTGTTGGAAAGTGGCTTGGGACATAGAGTGCGGGGTTGGGATTGTTGGATTTCGGGCTCATGGCTTCCAGTTGACGGATGAGGCTGTCCTGCGGTGAAGGCGATCTTGTCGTGCACCTGCGCTGAAGGACCCTGAACCCTAAACCCCTTAACCCCTTAACCCCTCAACCCCGTAACCCCGTAACCCCCTAACCCCTAAACCCTAAACCCTAAAACGACAAGTTCGGGCATCTGAGTCGCTAAGCTCTGATGGAGTCGACGGCTTCTAGACACCCTACAAACCCTACCTGGGAATCCATAAAAACCCGACCGTTTTAGGGGGATCTACCCTCTCATTCAGGGGTCATAAACCTACGATTTTGTAGGCAAACCCTAAACCCTGCGAATCTCGGCCCATCGTTTCTCCGTCGACGGGCACTGAAGGCTTTGTCGCAGCTTCGAAGTGGCGGAGCTTCACAAACCTTAAGCCAAGGCTTTACCTGTGACCCCAAACGGCCCCAAACCCTACCAACAAAATAGTAGGTTATGACCCCTTAATTAGAGAGTAGAACCCCTAAGACCCTAAAAAATTAATAGGTTATGACCCCTTGATTAGAGGGTAGAACCCCTAAAAACCCTGCAAAAGAGTAGGTTATGACCCCTTAGTTAGAGGGTAGAACCCCCAAAACCCTGCAAAAGAGTAGGTTCTGACCCCGTAGTTAGAGGGTAGAACCCCTAAAACTCTACGAAAGAGTAGGTTATGACCCCTTTAGTTAGAGGGTAGAACCCCTAAAACCCTGCAAAAGAGTAGGTTCTGACCCCTTAGTTTGAGGGTAGAACCCCAAAAACGCAAGGGTTCTTGGTTTCCCAGGTAAGCCTTCGTGGCAATTCTCAGGAGCTCTCTGCTCTCAAGGTTGAGGGCTCAGGGTTTAGGGCTTAGGGTTCAGGGTTTAGGGCTCAGGGTGTAGGGCTTAGGGCTTAGGGTTCAAGGTACAGGGTTTAGGGTTTAGGGTTCAGGGTTTAGGGCTCAGGGTGTAGGGCTTAGGGCTTGTACAGGGTTTAGGGTTTAGGGTTCAGGGTTTAGGGCTCAGGGTGTAGGGCTTAGGGCTTAGGGTTTAAGGTACAGGGTTTAGGGCTTAGGGTTCAGGGTTTAGGGCTCAGGGTGTAGGGCTTAGGGCTTAGGGTTTAAGGTACAGGGTTTAGGGTTCAGGGTTTAGGGCTGAGGGTTTAGGGTTTAGGGTTCAGGGTTTAGGGCTGAGGGTTTAGGGTTCAGGGGTTCAGGGTTTAGGGCTCTACTCCTTGCCTGGTGGTCCCAGTACTTCCACTCCAGCCCTTCGACGGATGCATCCACCTAACCAAGGGCGAAACGGCGCACAAAAAGGGTCTTCAATTCGTTGTTGGGGAGAGCGGAGGGGGCGGGGGGGTGTTAAGGCTTATGGCTTCAAGGCTTTAGGACTTAAGGGGTTTAGGATTTAGGGCTTTAGGGTCTTAGGGCCTGTTTTCTTGAGGGTTTAGGCTTTCAGGCTCAAAAGCAAAACGGTAGCTTCGGGAATTGGGGACACCAATAAGAGCTCACCCCAAAGCACAAGGATTCGGATCCTACGGATGGTCGTACTCCTAAAGTTCTGTAGCCATCGATAGACCTAAACTCTAAACCCGTAAGCCCTAAACCCTAATCCCTAAACCCCTAAAACCTAAACCCCTAAACCCTAAACCCTAAACCCTAAACCCTAAACCCCTAAACCCCTAAACCCCTAAACCCCAATCCCTAAGCCCCTACACCCCTAAACCCCTAAAGCCTAAACCCCTAAACCCACCCCAAACCCCTAAACCCCGAAACCCCTAAACCCTAATCCCTAAACCCTTACACCTTATTCCCCAACCCTTGACCCGAAACCCTAAACCCTCAACCCCCTGAACCCCCAAAACCCTCAAAGCCCCGCATGATGCTGGGACGGTCCAAACCTTCCAAAGGCCAGAGACCTGAAGGTTTAGGGGCTTAGGGGTTTAGGGGTTTAGGGCTTAGGGTTTCGGGTTTAGGGGTTTAGGATTTTAGGGATTTGGGGTTTAGGGTTCGTGAACCTCCGAAAGTTGGAACATGGATTTAGGATGAAGAGCGCTGGGATTCCCTATGGGCAGTTCTCGAAATTAGGGTCCCCTTTTTAGGTCCTCAATATAGTACGGCACCCTCAAAAAAGGGACCCTAAAAAAAACGCAAATTTAGACCAGAACCCCTGTACTTCACTTTAAGGGCACGGGGAGAATCATGTTCCATCCTTCCGGCTCAAGCGAAAGTCGTTGCTTTGTCTGATTGTGCACAGAAACATCGCCCACAAGGAGTTGAGGGCTCAGGGTTAGTCTCCATGCAGGATTGACGGTTTAAGGTTTCAGAACTTAAAAGAGGTTATGATTCATGAACCCTAAGCCCTAAATCCTAAACCGGTCATGATTCATGATGCGAGGCTTGAAGAATTACCGGGTTCTGTTCTGTCACAGCTTGCATGGCGCCCGAAAGCCTGCAGCCTAAACCCTAACCCAACCCCTTCCTAGACCCCAAAGAAACTACCTTTTTAAGGACCTATATAAGGAAATCATAATAAGGAACCCTAAAAGAGAGGAATAACCCTAAGGCAAGTTGCATCATCCAGCACGAGAAAGCGATTTTCTGCCATGCCTCATCAAACAAAAGTGGAAAAGACCACGACTGGGCCCCGTCGGACTTAGAAACCCAAAGAAGTACCCAAATGTAGGGGCCTCGATAGTTAGTTGGGGGGGAGGGGGGGTCCTTATTATGATATATTTATAGTATAGTTTACCCCAAACCCCTATATTACATGGGTACTTTTCTAAATTCGGGTCCCTGTCTAGGTCCCCAAAAATTTACTACGGCATCCCTGCCAAAAAAAGGACCCCCAAAAGGGATTTCCCCAGGCCCTTGCTTAGAGAACTGCCTACATTTCGAGAGTACCAGCACTTCATGAACTCCTATCAAGGCAGGTGCCGCAGTGGGAACCCGAATTTCGCACAACTCCAAACCCTAAACCCCTAAACCCTAAATCTTAAACCCTAAACCTCTAAACCCTAAATCCTAAACCCTAAAAACCTAAACCCCTAAACCCGAAACCCTAAACCGTTTAGGGTTCAGGGTTTCGGGCTGGGGGCTTCATAAAAAGACTTGCGGGCTTACGCCTGCAAGCCCGAAACAAGTTCCCGAAGGGTCCAAGTACTCCCGACTATAGGGCTTTGGGTCCATTTTGGGTACCCCTAATGTAGGGGCCTTAATAATTACCTATACTGTTTTGAGGGCTCCTTATTAATAATATAGTATAATATACCCCAAAACCTTATTCTAATTATTAAGGCCCCTACATTAAGCCCTAAACCCTGAACCCATCAGTAAGGACTGCTTGGATGCTTAGGGGTTGTGCTTGGGTCGTCATTGAAAGAGGCAGCCTTCTACCCGGGTTATGGGGGGGGGATTTTTTTTGTTTTTTTTCTTTGGGGAGGGGTTAGGGTTTGGGGTTTAGGGTTTAGGGGGGGTGCG